CTGGAACCACTTCCAAGAGAAGTGGTGCAGGATCCTACCCTGGGGGTTTTTAAAAGGAGGTTAGATGAACACCTTGCTGGGGTTGTTTTACCCCAGTACTATTTCCTGCCATGGCAGGGGATCGGACTAGATGATCTACACAGGTCCCTTCCGACCCTAGAAACTATGAAACTATGGTTTCTTGCCCAGCCAATCCCAGTTCCCCATCTCCTGTATCCTCCCATCTAATCTGTCTCATCCCACCCTACATCCTTTGCTGCACCTCAGTTGTTTCAAGTCTCAGTCTCTGTACCCAGATAATTCCACTCTCTCCTGCTGCCTCATTTGATCCAAATATTGCTGCCACACATTATTCCCATATCCATTTATCTGTTGGGCTCCTGTTTCCCAACTCCTTGTCCAGCTCTGACGTGTGTCCCCAGCACTCTCTTTTCATATCATTCTTTACCTTGGACTTGCTTGTCACCACTGCATCAGAGGAGAAAGCTTTCTCCTCCTCACTGGCCACTGAGGAGAGTAGATGGGCATGTCAGCAATATCTCATGCCAGGACACTCTACAATCTTGATGTAGATTACCTTCAGAGTCCTGCTGGCACCCAGGCATAAAATCTCAAACATATCAGAGACCAAAGTCAAGAGTGACTGTAGGGGACATTACTGGAATGTCCTCAATGCTATACTTCCATGGAAGTACACAAGAAGCTGGTGGGCAGGTCATGCAGGAAAGTCTCTTGCTTAAACACACTACCACCACAGTATGCTCATCATAATAATAATAATGCTCATCTACAGGCATAGGAAAGAAGTCTCATTGTTTTCCATTCTAGGAGCAGTGTTTGGGAGCAAGATGGGGGTACAGAGCCAGGATCACAAGACAAGGTCATGGGGCAGCCCCTGCTCTGTAGGGGGAGGTGTACAGGGGAGGTATGTGCGTCTGTGTGTGTGTGCAGGGGGAGTTGCCTGGGCACTAGGTCCTGGGGGCCAGCTAGGGTGAGGTGAGGAAGGAGGGTGCAGGGGGCACATGAAGCAGAGCTCACCTGGGCAGTGCAGTCCACAGTTGCCCCCATGGCACTCCACATTGGACTGAGCCCTGCTCAGGACAGCCTACTCCATCCCATGCCCACCGGCCCTGGCCAGCAGGCACAGCTTCTGTCAGGACTGCTTCCGGTACAGCTGCAGCCACCTGACTGCTGGCTCCACTCTCTACACCTCCAGCAATGGCTCCTGCTGCATCACTCCAGGAATGGGGTAGGAGCCAACCAGCTGAAGCTTCTTGTGGGCCAGATTCACCTCACAGAGCCAGGTCATTTAGCTGGAGATAAGCCTGGTCACGTAGCTCACAGGGTCTCCCCACATATCCAGAAGTTTTCAGTGGTATTGATAGTTGCCCCTCCCCTGGTGCAAAATTTCTGGATCTATGGGGCCAGATAATATGGCCATGTATGCTAGATTGTTCCAACAGATTGGGGGGGTGGGGAGAGGAAAAGTCAGATTGGACCACTCTGTGCATCCATGGACCAGTCCCATGCAGGATCTTGCCCACAGACTGACCCCATGCCACTTACCTGGCCTGCACAGCTAGAAGGTTGACCACACTGTGCTAGGTAAGCAAAGCAATGCAGTTTCAACTCCATACAGCACAAGGGAGGCCTATCACTCAGATCTCCTACTTAGTTAAGTGCCCTAACCACTCAGCTATCGGAGCTAAAACACAGGATGGTCCTCCTCCCCATTCTTCCCAGACTTATGCTTAGCCATGTACATACATAAGCAAGCTCAGTCTACACATACATACTTGTGTATCCACAGTAGGAAAGGCAGGGTCAAGAATATCCATATATATTAAGAAAGCTAGTATTTTAGGTACACAGAGGAAAACAGAATTCTATTCGCAGTCTTTAAGTGCACTGTATTATGCAGTTCCTCCCCCCACCACCATGGAACTCCCTTCCTCATTCATTAAAATCCCCATTGAACAATGTAATTATAAAAAAGAAAAATACTGAAGTTTATAGAAACAATATTTTTCCTTAATGTGATCAAATTATTTCTGCAATTAAAAATTACATACTGCTTCTGTGAAAGTTGGAACTTACCCTGGAATGTAGTGAGGCTCTGGAGTAAAGAGGCTGTGTCTCTGTGGAGCTGTCATTGCATTTGTACTGTGGATGGTCAGCTCACGCAAGGCAGATGCAGGATTGAGCAAAGTCAAGCAACACTGTAGTCAAGACAACCATTGTGAAGTTATCATAAACAGCAGCATCATGGGCAAAAAACACACTTCACAATTCAAAGAAAAACCAAGCCGTGGAATCACTGTACTTACTAGTTTTCTGAACTAAAATTTATAAACAGACAACTGGGTATGGTGAGGTGAATTTATGCATTTCCCCAAATGCAAGTTAACTTAGTTGGCATCATTTACAACAATGGGAAAGTCCCCCTAATTACTAGTGTTCAACACCTTTACGTCTGTGTTAGGAGAGTGGCCCACAACCATTAGGCTATGGTAGCAGGTTCCTTCAACTGTTCCTTGTTTTATATTACAAAACCATGGACTGAAAAAAAAGAAATAAGGTTGGTAGAAGGGAAAAGAACCAAGGATCTTTTCCCTCCTAGGGAAAGTGCCTTTATCACATGGTAAACTTCCTTCTCCTTCAGTAAGACAGATGGAAAATGTCCTTATTTATTCTACTGTATAACTTGGGGTTTACAGTATTCGGCTAGAAGAAATAGGGAGATTTAAATTCAAGTCTGTTCAGGATAAGGACATCTTAAAATGCAAGTTTCCCACTTTTTGTGCAAGAGTGTTTAAACCACTAAGCTGGGAAATAACCAATACGAAAGCCAAGTTAGAGGGAACTTCATGAAGTCACCGTGGCCTTTGCTCAAGACAGGAGCAACCACCCCAGCTGAGTGCATGTCTAACCTGCTCTTGAAAATTGCCAGGATAGAGTTTCCACATGAGGAAGAAAGCTCAAGATTGTGCGAGGCATTACACTGTGTGGAGAGGAACACCTTTCTCTCAGCAGAAAACTGGTTCAAGTAGGGGATGGGGAGTGGCACAGAAAGAGAGCTCTTCTGGAAAAAAAGAAAGCTGAGAACATTTCTAACCAGGAAGTGCTCTCTCCTGCTACACCAACTTGAACAGCTTTATTCTTTTGTGCCACTCTCTCACAGTCTTTTGTTGTGCCCCCTCCCCCTGTGCCCCCAGGGGAAAGTAGGAAAGTGCTGTACCAGCTCCAGTGGCCCAGGACAGGCTGTCAGGGAGCCCTGCGGATCCAGCTGCTGGCACCAGATGCCTCCCACCACAGAACATAGTCAGTTGGACAGTTCTAGCCATAGTACAGGAGCAGATCCAGAGCTGGTACAGTGGTAGTCATACTCCTTTCATATCACACAGAAGCAACAGCCAGGGACTTAGGTTGATCAGTCTTGTTCTCCTGATTTTTTTTTTTTAAAGAAGAGAAGCATTATGTTGGCCCTTTTCTAGTCCCCTGGAATTTCACCTGTCTTCCGCTATTGTGCAAATATCATTGCTAGGGGCTCTAAAGTCCCTTCTGCCAGTTCCTTCAGCACCCTGAGACAGAGTTCATCATGCAAGTTTCACTTGAATTCAGTTAAGCCAATCAAAGCTATTACAGTTTATTTCATTATCATGATCTTTGACCTTTCTCCTTCCTTGCCTACGCAATTTTGATTAGATGTTTAGTTGCCACTTACCTTTTTTGTGAAAAACAAAGCTAGAGTATTTGTCAAACAGCTCCTCTTTCTTTGCATCTTCTTCTGTTAATGGAACTCCTTGGCTATTTAGCAGTTGATTTGGGATAAGGGGGGGGGGCAGCACACAAGAAAACACTTTTGTGACCAAAGTATTTATAGAATCCAGTTTTACTTAACTTCCCTTGTCAGGTGCAACTCATTTGCTTTCCTGATTTTCTCCTCCCAAGTTCTTGCTTTTGCACAATATGCTTTCTTAGAGACTTATGACCCAGCTGAGTCCTCCATACACATCCTATATTCCTACCAAAGCCTGTTTAAGTTCCACCTTAGGCAGAAAGCTCCTTTAGTGATCTTTCTCCCAGAAGCTACGCAGTTCAAAGTCCAAGGCCACTTTGGATGTGGAAATAGCTCTGGCCTATTTCCTGCATGCTTCTTTGTGGGGATAGTTGAGAGATCCAAGGGTTTTGCTTCTGGACCTCAAACTCTCCGACTACATTTCTAGCTGTATTGGACTCTGTGATCCAAATGCACTCCAACGGACCTCAGGCTATTTCTGATGCCTTCTTTAGGGTTCTCCATTTTGGAGATTTGTAAAGCAGCAACTTGGAGTTTGCCCAAATGTTATTGAAAATGGTATGGGTGTGACAGAAAATAGGAAGGGCAGAAACAGAAAGAGGAGACAAGGAAAATGGGAGTGAGGGAGATGAGGGAGAAGAAAGAGAAATGGGTTGAAGACCCTGGAAATTCTGCCCTGCTCACCAGGAATGCAGAAAGAGAAATCCTGCCTGTAGGTCGCTGGGCAACATGGTCTCACTGATAAAAAGGACTGTGGTCACAAGCCCCTGTGACCATCAACCAGGGCCAGTGCCCCAGCCACAAAGGCAGAGGTAGAGAAGCTCAGGCCCATGAAGATGCTAGGTGATCCCTGTTCCTTCAACACCTTCATGACTAGTGCTGCTAACAGTGACAGTCACTATATTGTGCTCAAGTAGAAGAACATTAATTAATCAAATATACACATTTGGGTATGTGCATCTATTCTTCAATTCTCTAATATGTAAAAGGCCTTACCGAATTACCTCAGGTTTACAAAACATCTAGTCCCAAGGGCCTGATGCTATATAGAAGGCTTAAAGCAAATGGAAGTGGCCCCTAATAATTCCCTTACCAAAGCTGGGAAAAGGACCATATGCAAACCCAACTCCCAGCTCCAGGGCAGAGAGTAGATCAGACACAGGTCTAGAGTGTATTGCCCTCTGGCTGTTTCCTGCTTCCTAGGAGGTGAAGCTGGAACATGAACAGGAAGGCATGAGAGAGAACAGTTCTAAAAAATGTCTTACTTACCTGGGGGCCAGGCAGGGTCCTTCATGGCTCTAGAACACAGGGATCTTTCTCCCTTAGTGCAGAGTGGAGAACTGAGAATTAAGCCTTCAGGTCTCTTACTGCAGCAATTGTGATTTATAATGAACGTCCACATACATAAGGAAAACGTCTGCCTTACTCCGGGCAGGTCTTAAAGGATAGTGCCAATCATGGGAGCAAGGCTTGTGGCCAATGCTCTCGGCTTTTCAGCTTGACTGGATTAGCCTATTGAGCCTGGTTCTGCAGCACACTCTTCCGATTTACCTGCAGCAGAGCAAGAGCTACATCTACAGGTGTGACTGTTTGCCTTGCTCCTCTCCCAAGAACCTGAGACATGAAGAGTGCCTTCCCATATAGGTAAAACAAATAAGAAGTTTGTGTATAAGCTGCCAAACTTGAGGAGCTTAGCTAAGACTTTGCTTCTGATGCCCCTGACTGCAGCAGTTGATTTTGTCCACATATATTTTTGAAGGTGCCTGGCAGCCCAGCTAGGCTCTCAGAAGCAAGCTATAAAGGACTAGTCTATGCTTTAGGCAAGGTGAATATAAGCATTGTAATGGGTGCCACCTGCAAAGATGGATACGGGGCCCTCTAGCAGTCACCCCAAGACTATTTTGCATTCTGACTTACTAGGGTACTGCCCTGTGTTTGCCTACCACACCTTGACATTGCCTCCCAAATTGGTGTTATCAATCTTGGCTTACCCCCACACCAACCAGCTTAGCCTAGAGTACCCTTTAGCCAGGCATTCTTAATACCTCTCTACTGCCCTGCAGAAGTCTTCCCCCATACCTCATGGCTAACACAGACAAAACCATCGAGTTTGTTATAAGTAAGATGACCAGCCAACTCTTGCCCCTCTCAATCCGGAAAGTGCCTAACACATCCAAAGCCACCACTGCTAGTTGGCTATCCTATATCAGCCTCTCAAGGCTACCTTACTGCTTGTATTTTGTAGCCCCCATTCATCAGCTTAGAGCCTTCCCTCAAAGGAACTCTGTTCCCCACTGTGATCTAATTCAGACAGACTGTCATAGATTCCCAAGTTCTCCTTATCCTAGTGCTTCAGATAAATTCTTCCACAACCCCAGCTTGGGCTAGACTGACTTCTCAACCCAAGAGCCAGGCTCATATAGCCCCTAGGCTTCATTTCTGGTCACCTCTCCCTCTTATGATAAAGCACAGGGGTTCCTTAGTAGGGCTGCGTGAAATTTTGCTGGCTGTTTCATTTCGACACTGTTTCAACTCATTTCGAGGTCGAAACAGCAAAATCAAAATGAAACAAAGGGCGGTGAAACAGCCTAGATACAAAACGACGCTAGTCAAAATGTTTTGACCACAGCGCTGGGGAAAAGAACTCAGCCCAGCTGGGCTGACTTCCCATCCCCAGCGCTAGATGGCACTGAGGTCCAGGAGTCAGCCCAGCTGGGCTTCTTCCCATCCCCAGCGCAGCGCAGCGCAGCCCAGCCGGGCTGATTCCTTGACCCAGCATGGTCTAGGCTGTTTTACACAGCCCTATTCCTTAGTAGTAGTCTGCAGGCTTTTATCTCAGCTGTATGTGGCTTACTGCTCTCTACTGGTTGCCTGCAGGAGTTGCCTCTTTCTAATCGAGTGAAATAGACTTCACCAAATGGAGCAGATCAGCAGTGCCGTGATGTGTGCAACATAGCTGATCCACTTTGTTAAGCAAAACATAAGTTATCCCTGTCTTTGATGGTGTGGGATAAGTGGGTGATGTGATCTCCCCACTTTCACTGCTGCCCCAGGCCTGCACTATAGGTCTGAAGCAGCTGGGAAAGATGCCTCCACTATCAGCCAGCCCCATGGGACTGGCTGGGTTAGGAACACCCTGTCCCAGGTGGAGATTTCCAAGCAGGGAAGCCCTTTTTCCACTCCCCAGACCCACTTCACAGGTCTGGGTGAGCAGGGAAAGGGCCACAAAGGTCTGCTGCAGTAAAGCAGCAGAATCTATTACTACTTCTTGTTGTGCCACTGGTGTGATACCTGTCATGCGGTGCAACAAAGGGCAAGGACATCTATTTGTGCCGCCTTAAAAAAATGTTAGGCAGCACAAATGAGACTACAGACAGGTAATGTCTGTCTCCACCCAGAGGAATGCCTGTTACAGAAGCCTGTTACAGCGTCTTGATATGAAATGTCACTTTTCTCCTCCCCAGGTTATAAATGGCCTCAAGTGCTGCGACCAGGATGCCTATGCTGAGGTGAACGGAGGAAATGACTTTGCCCTTATGGGTCCTGCTGTGATAAGGCACCTTTCCATGCAGTCCGGTGGAGGGAGGAAAGCCCTGTTCCTGCATGAGCGATTGAACCGATGAACCCGAGGCACAGGGGGAGATTGAGGGCTGGGGACTTCGGCGCCAGGCGGGTCGCTCCGGTCTCTAGTAGATAGCGGCGCCCAGCGCCAGACCTGGGAGCGCATGCCGCCCGGGGTGAATCGCAGGGGAACCAGGCACCGGGGGCTCGGGCCGGCAGCTCCTCGACGCAGCCTGCAGGAGGGCGGCGACCGAGCTCCGGCCTCCGCTCGCCCCGGGGAAGTCAGGCCCGGCTGTCAGCTGCGCCTCGGCAGGGAGC